TATATATATATACATATTACACCTTAAATGAGCTGACGTTTACACTGGCAGCCATTTGTGGCGAGATACAGTGTTCATAAATTGTGGCAGCACCGCTTACCGGACAACATTGATTCTCAGCGGGCAATATATTTTTTGGCACGGGAAATGCTTTACACCAACTAAAATGCGCCATTGCCTATGCAGCCATATAACAAATATGTAAATTTTATTTCTCTAAACAGGTGAATCAGGACATATACCTTTGCAAGCATCCCTGGGACTACTCTATGCACTTCCCAACAAAATCTACTACTGATTATGCCGTCATTCCAAACGCCTTTCCGCTGGGCTTTAACCAAATCTCTGTGTGTATGTGGCTGAGAGTTCCCGCAGATTCCTTCCTGGACTGTCGTACTAAGTATGGATCAGTTTGCCGCTACCACGCGGTGTGGACATACCATACAGATGTCGAAGAAATGGAATATGCAGTTTACCCAGACGGTTGTATGAGGTTCACTTTGGGGCTTAATAAACGCATTCGAACGTAAGTATCAATTCACGCCAACGCATTTCAAAGTAGATTTGTTTACATATATGTCAACATCAATAGCACGCATACATATCCTATCAGGTGAAGAGGTTTCGCAGTAGCCAAACTTGTTTAAAAATGATGACTGTATTCATTATTGATTAATGCTATAATTATCATCGAACATAATATTGATGATCGTTTTCAATTTTCTATTTCATAGCGAAGTTTGCGACTATTTAATCACCGATGGCAACTGGCACTTTGTATGCACAACCTACGACAGTCTGACTGGAGCTCACCAAATCTTCTTGGATGACCAACCGAAATACACTGGCACTTCCTCACAACTTGTAAGCTACATCGCTGACACAGGGACTAGCTTCATAATAGGACAGGATGTTGATGATACACAAACGGACTTCCACAAAAAACAAGCATTTGTGGGGGATTTAGCTGACCTGAACGTGTACCATCGTATCCTGACTGATGCTGAGGTTGCAACAATCAGAACCTCTTGTCTTTCTAATGGCGGCTCTGCCATAAAGTGGCTTGACTTCAAGACCACAATAGCTGGAGGTGTATCGCTGGACATGCCATCTAACTGTACACTGTAAGGCCAATATTTTGGTTTCAGATCGAAGAGCAAATATACTTTGACGCTTTAAGATTAATTACTTACGAACTCCTAAATGTTAGAAGCGCCACTGTGCGTGAAATTATTAATCACTCATTGGCAAAACTTGTTTAATTCATACACAAGCTTTACATTGCAATGTATTAGAGTTCTTCTGGAGACCAATATAGTTATTGGGAACGTTTCTGTAATACGTACATTAAAATTAAATTTCAACTAATTTTGGAGACTATCTTTAATCGTATAATTTTCACATTGTAAACATTAATAGAAAGGGAAAACAATCGAACATGGAAACAATGCAACAATTAAACATGGAACAATATAATGAACACTGAACAATGAAAAATGAACAATAAACAATAAACGTGAACGTTGAAACAAAATGAAGCATGGAACAATGGCAACAGTTGAAATTGGTATAGTTACTAGAATATAATCATTACATAATGTTAGGTGCTGTAAAAAAACTAACCCATGTCATTTCCTGCGCATCATATGCTATAGAAGCAGGGGAATAAATGGGTAAGATTAGTTTTGCCCTCACAAGCAGGTAAAAGCCCAACTCTGTTGCAAGCACAATAGAGTACCGAAGTGTGACGTCACGCTGTCATGACAACGAACCACTGGTTCTACACAACCCACTGGCTCCATAACATTAACTGCGTGAAAATGTTGTGCGTACGTAAAACACGAGTGCATGGTTCGTTGGTGTATGTGTGGGACGCGCTGAGTAGATATCTGCGTGAGTAGCGAGGATGGGTGTGACACGGCGTGTCTCGGTGTTCTGGTGGCTGCGTACTGCTCGTGTGTGGGGGCGCCGTGTGTCCTGTGTTTGTGGCGCGTGCGTAATGCTCATGTGTGGGTGAGCGTGTGTCGCGTGAAGTATGAGTATGTGTGCGTCGCGCAGTGTCCAGTGTTGTGGGCGGCGTGTGTAGTGCTCATGTGTGGCGTGCGTCGTGTGTCTGCGGAGTACTGGAGTGTGTGCACGCGCGTGTCTGGTGTTTGTCGCGTGGCGTATGCTCGTGGTGTGGGGCGCGTGTGTATCTGCGTGGTGTATGTTGTGGGTGCGCGTGTGTTCTGGTGAGTAGCTGAGTATGTGTGAACGCGCGTGTACTTGTGTTTGTGCGCGTGCGTATCTCGTGTGTGGGGCGCCGTGTGTCTGTGTTTTGTGGGCGCGTGCGTCTGGCTCAATTGTGGGTGCGCGTGTGTCTGCGTGGAGTACTGAGTATGTGTGCACGCGCGTGTCTGTGTTTGTGGTGGCCGCGTCCGCGTATGATCGTGTGGTGGGTGCGCGTGTGTCTGCGTCGTGTATGATGTGGCACGCGCGTTGTCTTGTTGTGCGCGTGCGTATGTCTGCGTGTGTGGGCGGCGCGTGTGCTGCGTGTAGTACTTGAGTATGTTGCGCGCGTGGTGTTCTGTGTTTTGTGCGCCGTGGCGGTATCTCGTGTGTGGGGCGCGTGTGCTGCGTGAGTACTGAGTATTGTGTGCGCGCAGTGTGTCTGGTTTCGTGCGCGTGCGTACGATCGTGTGTGGGGCGCGTGTGTCATGCGTGTGTATGTGTGCGCCTGACGTGTGTCTGCGTTTGTGCGCGTGCGTATGCTCGTGTGTGGGGGGCGCGTGTGTGTGCGTGTGTATGTGTGCGCCGTGCGTGTAAGTGTTTGTGCGCCGTGCGTATGCTCGGTGTGCTAATTATTGCATAATCCTAATTATTGCAAACCACTCTAGTGCGAATTTCGGCACACAAAAAACGCGCAAAAAAGGCCGAATATAAGTGTAACCGGTGAACAATTTTGCGGAGGCTCTACTGTTGACCCATCCTTAATGATGCAGAGGAAATACGTATCGACTTGAATGTTTTTTTATGATACATTAGAGCCCTTTTTCGCCTAAGTGGCTACGACCAAATCAACATGATGGCAGCAACCTCCAGAAAGCTCGAGATATCACTCTCAGCAATGCAAATTATTACACTCTGTGCCCAGAAATTTAGGGCGGAGAAAAGGCAAAAAAGGCCTTTTCTAAGAAAAATAGTGAAAGCGGTGAAACAATTTGCCGGAGGCTTATTGTTGTTACGGGCCACCTATGAGCCAACGGGATAAATACGATGGCTTGTGATGCTTACTACCAAATGAAGAAGTGGCAGCAGCAGAAGAAGATGTATGGCGTCACGTTAAGCCATGCTTTGCTGTGCCGTTGGCCTTGCTGAGCTGTGAAGCAACAGCGGTAAAAAGGAAGAGTACATTTTCTCTGTACGCATCCGACACTTAGCCATTACTCAGCAGCGCTTATAGTCTACCTATGCTGCGAGCCATGTTCCGCTGCACTGTTCAAGTGGGCATGGCAGATGAAGCTGTGAAGGCTTCAACCTGCAGCGACAGACACGGCTACTGATATGTCAGCACTCCTCCAACATTGCCTGGATGCAAAAAAAAACAAGCTGTGACCATACAGCTGCTACTGATGGCTACGGATTTGCTGCCTACTTGGAGGAAAAGGTAAGGCAATCGAGAGCAGCTCTTATATCGTGTAGATGGTAAAAAATCATTAGCATGTTAGTGTGCTTCTTCTAACCCAGTGCGGTTCCTGCAACACTGCAGAAAAGCACATGTTGATTCTCAACTCTCACCACACGTTTAAGCAAAATACATGCTATCAACCCCGAATAACGTAACCATTATTCTGACTTGGGTGGCATTTTTCGGTTCTAAGGACAAATACGCCCCGTGACAATCAGCCCGCGGACAATTACCTGCCGACACAATTACCCCCAATGCCAGATTTACCCCCCATGCCATTTACCAACCCCGGACAATTACCGCCCCGGACATTTACCCCCCGGACAATAACCCCCCGGAACATTTACCCCCCCGACAAATTTACCATCCCCCGAAAATTTCAGCGCCGGACATACCCCCGCGACATTTATCCAGCACCCCGACAAAATTACCCCGCGGACATATTACCCCCCGGACTATTACCCCCGGACATTCACACCCCCGGACAATCAACCCCGGACATTTAACCCCGCGGACATTTAGCCCCCGGACACAATTACCCCCCGGACATTTTACTGCACTTGGTACGATTCTTTATTCATTGTATGAACAGTGATAGCAGGCAGGAGGTCGAGGAGGAGGGGAAGAAGGTGGTGAGAGAAGAAGGAGAAGGTTGGGAGAAACGTGTGGGGGGATGAGGAGGGGAAGAAGGTGGAGGAGGAGGAGGGAGAGAAGGTGGAGGAAGGAGGAGGGGAGGAGAGAGGAGAGGGTGGGAGGAGGAGGATGAGAGAAGGTGGAGGAAGGAGGAAAGGGGAGAACGTGGGGAGAACGTGGTGGGGGATGAAGGAGGGGAGACAGGTGGAGCGAGGAGGAGCAGGGATGAAGGTGGAGAGCGAGGAGGAAGGAGCAGAAACGGAGAGGAGGAGAGGGAAGTGGAGGAGGAAGTGAAGGAGGAGACGAGGATGGAGAGGAGGAGGTAGAGGGAGGGAGGAAGGAGAACGTCGGGGAGTAGGTGGTGGAGGAGGAGGGGGAGGAAGGGTAGAGGAGGAGGAAGGGGGAGAAGGCTGGAAACCAGAAGGAGGAAGAGAGAGGACGGAACGTTAATGGACCAAGGAGAAGGTAGAAGGAGGAGGGAAAAAGAATGGTGGAGGGAGGAGAGAGAATAGAGAGTATTATTTGAGTGAAGGCAAAGAAGGAAGGAAGTAGATGGGAGAGAGAGGGTAAGGAGGAGGTAGAGAGGGTAGGAGGTAGCGGTTAGGCCAGTGTGGTGAGGAGGAAGATAGGTGGATGGTTGTATTATGAGGCAGGAGGAGGAGAGAAGAGGAGAGGAGGTGAGAGGAGGAGGAGAGGAGGAAGGAGGAGAGGAGAGGAGGAGAAGGTGGAGAGGAGGAGAAGAGATGGAGCAAGAAGAGGGGAAACAGTGGGAGAAAGTGGCGAAGAAAAAGGAAAGGGGAGGAGGGAGAGAGGGTGGTGCGGAGGAGGAGGAGGAGGAGGAGATGAGCGTGGAGAAAGAGGGAGAGGAGAGGAGGAGGAGCAGGAGTGGGGGAGGGAGGAAGTAGATGAGGGCGCCTCTACCTCCTCTACTCATCCATACTCAGTCCTCCTCCTCCTCCTCCTCCTGCCACCTTCTCCCAATTCCATCCTCCACCCACCTTTCCCCATGTCTCACGAGCCTCATCCTGCGCTTCCCCCTCTTCCTCTACTCCTCCTCGCTCCTGCCTGCCTCCTCGCTGTACCTCCTACCTCCCATTTCCTCTCTCTTCCTCTTCTCCTCCACCTTCTCGACCTCTCACTCTACTTCTCCACCTTCCTGCCCGCCTCCCATGCGTATCTTAATAGATGGTGCTCCTCCACCACGTTCTCGCCAACATTCTAAATTCTCCCTTGCTTCTCCTCAATCCAGCTCCGCTCTCTCCACCCTCCTTCTCCTCTTCCTCCTCACACACTCCTCTCATAGCCTCCTCTCCTTCGGCCCCTCCCCAACGCCATGCGGCTAAAGTGCACACTTCTCTCACACTTTCTCGGCCCTCCTCCTCCATAACCCACCCCCACAAAAAACTCCTCCGTGGCGATTCTTCCCATCTCCTCGAAACTCCTGCCTGTATCACTGTTCAACAATGAATAATAAACCACACAGTGAGTAAAATGTCGCGGGGGTAATGTCGCGGAAATCAAATAGTCCGGCGGGGTAATTGTCCGGGGGTGATTGCCCGGGGGTAAATGCGGGCGGGGGGTAAAGGTCCCGGGGGGTAATGTCCGGGGGGGGATATAATTGTGCCGGGGGGTAACATGTCGCGGGGTAATTTGTCGACGTGGGTAAATCCGCGGGGGTAAATGTCCGGCGGGGGGTAATTGTCCGGGGGTAAATTGCCAGGGGGATGATTGTCGCGGGGGGTGAACTGGCATGGGGGTAATTGTCCGGGGGGTAAATGTCCGGGGTAAATGTCCCGGGGGAATTTGTCGCGTGGTAATTGTGCGGGGTAAATGTCCGGGGGTAAATTGTCCGGGGGGTAAATGTCCGGAGGATAATTGCCGGGGGGTAAATCGGGCATGGGGGGTAATTGTCCAGGGTAATTGTCCGGAGGGTAATTGTCGCGGGGGTAAATGTCGGGGGGTGCATTGTCGCGGGGGAGTAATGTCCGGGGGATAAATGTCCGGGGGGTAATCCTGTCCGGGGGTGATCTGTCTGTGGGGGTGAAATGGCATCGGGGGGTAAATGGCAATGGGGTAATTGTCCGGGGGGTAAAATTGTCCGGGGTAATTGTCGCGGGGGTGATTGTCCGGGGGGTATTTGTCCCTGACACCGATTTTTTCCACATACTGAATTACAGACAACTCGAAGGGCCTCTCGAGCCGATACAGCCATCAATCCTGTGTGTGTGTGTGTGTGTGTGACTGGTCCGTAGTGCTGTAGCATAGTAGCACTCATGCCACGACTTGACAGACGCCCATCAGAGTCAACACTACGGTATAGGCTGGCGTATAGCAAAACTTTTGAGACGATGTGTGTGTGTAACGTGCTGCTGCATGATGTGCCCTTCAAAAAACGACAGGTGGCTGTGTCGTGTGTAGTGTGTGTGTAGTGCGTGCCGTGCGTGTGTGACACAAAAATCCACATGCAACACTAGCTCAAAACAAACAAGACCACACTAAGCAAGAGACACAGGACTGACACTCGAATCCATACCAGCTATATACAGTGAAAACAACGCACGGCCCGACTAATAAGCTAAACGCACACACTGACCATACACACCGCCTCCCACCACATTGAAAAGCCGATTTAAACAGCGAATTCGGGATATAACAGCGCATGCAGTCGTTGGAGCTTCAACGACCGCAACCTGTTTGTTGCTCATATATAGCCACGTATATATAACCCCGATTTAAGCGCGAAAACGTCACTCGCGTCACCGCATTTTTTGGGGCGATAACATTTTATGGACCCCACCATCGGTCATAACCCGAGGGCTACAGTGTGTATATAATATATATATATATATATAATATATAATATTACACCTTAAATGAGCTGACGTTTTTTAACACTGGCAGCTATTTGTGCGGAGATACAGTGTTCATAAATTGTGGCAGCAGCGACACACCCGGCTTACGCGACCAACATTGATATCTGCCAGGCGGGCAATATATTTTTTTGGCAGCGGGAAATGGCTTTACACACCAACCTAAAATGCGCGCTATTGCCCTATGCAGGGCCATATAACAAGATATTAAATTTGTATCTTTCTACCTGCTAAAACCAGGTTGAAATCAGCGACATATACCCTTGGCAAGGCATCCCTGGGACTACCTCTATGCAACATTACCAAACAAATCTACTAAGATTATGCCGTCCATTCAAACGCCTTTCCGCTGGCTTTAACCAAATCTGCTGTGTGTGTGGCTGAGAGTTCACCGCAGATTCTTGCCTGCTCGTTCCGTACTAAGTGATGGATCAGTTTGCCCGCTACCACGGGTGTGGACATACCATACAGAATGTCGCAAAGAAAAATGGAATTGCAGTTACCCAGAGCGGTTGGTATGAGGTTCACTTGGGGGGCTTAAATAAACGGCATTCGAACGTACAGTATCAAATTCACGCCAACGCATTTTTCAAGTAGATTTGTTAAACATATATGTCAACATCAATGCACGCATTACATATCCTATCAGGTGAAGAGTTCGCAGAATAAGCCCAAACTTGTTTAAAAATGATGCTGTATTCCTTATCTGATTAATCTATAATTATCAATCGCCGAACATCAATATTGATGATCGTTTTCAAATTTTCTATTCACAGGCGAAGTTTGCGACCTATTTAATCACCGATGGCCAACTGGCAACTTTGTTATGCACAACGCTACGATCAGTCTGACTGAGCTCACCAAATCTTCACTTGGATGACCAACGAATACACTGGCACTGTCGCATCACACTGTAAGCTACATCACGCTGACCAGGGATAGCTTCATAATAGGACAGGATGTTGATGATACACAAGGACTTCCAAAAAAAAACAAGCATTTGTGGGGGGATTTAAGCTGACTGAACGTGTACCTCGTATCCCTGATGATGCTGAGGTTTGCAACAATCAGAACCTCTTGTCTTTCTAATGGCGGCTCTGCCATAAGTGGCTTGACATTCAGAACACAATAGCCTGGAGGTTGATATCGCTGGAACATGCCATCAACTGTAGCACTGTAAGGCGCAATATTTTGTTTTCAGATCGAAGAGCAAATATACTTTGACGCCTTTAAGATTAATTACTTGACGAATTTCCTAAATAGTTAGAAGAGCGCCACTGTGCGTGAAATTATTATATCATTCATTAGCAAAACTTGTTTAATTCATACTACAGGAATGGGAGCTTTACATGCAATGTATTTAGAGTTTACTTCTGGAGACCAATATAGTTATTGGGAACGTTTCTGTCATACGATACATTAAAATTAAATTATCAACTATATTTTTTTTTGGAAAGGAACCCCCCCTATTCCTTTTTAAATTCCGTAATAATTTTCACATTGTAAACATTAATAAAAGGGAAAACTAATCGAACATGGAAGCGGGAAACAATGCAACAATATATACAGGGAACAATATAATGAACACCTGACAATGAAAATGAACAATAAACATAACGTGAGTGGGGGGTGGGGCGTTGAAATGACAAAATGAAGCCAGAACAATGGCACAGTTGAAATTTGGATATAAGTTACTAGCAGTTAATCATTACAACATGTTAGGTGCTGTAAAAAACTAACCATCGTCCTTCCTGCGCATCATCTGCTAATAGAAGCAGAGGGAATCAATGGGTATGATATAGTTTTTGCACCTCACAAAAGCAGGTAAAAGGCGAGCCCAACGCTCTGTTAAGCATGACAATACTCCTTTGTTGAGGCGCCTCGTGGCGCTTCTCTCTTATCTTGTTTTACTTAAATCTGAACGAAACCATATGAAACTATTATTTTTAAATTATTAGACTATTATTTACTATTAGACTATAATATAATAATATTATATATATATATATATATATATAGTATTAGATCTATAATATTAGACTATTATTTACTATTAAGACTATATATATAGTATATATTATATATAAAAAATATTTAGAATCTATATATTAGAACTATTATTTACTATAGACTATAAAAGATAGTATAGTATACCTATATATATAATATCAGGAGTACATAATAGGGATCCCTATTATGTACTCCCTGAATTATATATATATAATATATATATATATATTAGATCTATAATATTAGACTATTATTTTTAAATTTTAAACTTTTTCATTTCTTTGGGCCGTGGTGGCAGTTTAAAAACGACCGTGCAAATCACGCTGCATGGCTCGGCTGCTAATACGCCAGCACACACGACAGACACACTTGGACACGTCTTTGTCACCATACAAACCAGACATGGATAATACACACACACACGACACACACAGTGAGCACACACGCGCCGAGCAACACACAACACACACAACACACACACAGGTGACACATATCATGACAGACACCAATAAATGCA